AGGGTGTTCAAATTTTGCATATTTAAACAAACCGAGCAAGAAAAAAAAATCGATGAAAAAAACACTAACCCTAGAAGCGAACAGGAGAAAGTCTAGGAGGAGCCGAAGAAGAAACTGGAGAAAAGAAAAAGAAATTTATTAATGTTATATAGAGAGTAAAGCAAAATTTGTACTTGGGAGGCTTCTAAAAAGTCGCTAATAATCTAATACGTGTCGAATTTTTATTGGATATCATAAAGATTTAGGTAGCTAATAGCCAATAACAAATAGGGAGTAGATGAAAAGACGGTGTGAGTGAGTACAGGAGATTGTTGCAGAAAGTTTTACGTGTTCACGCATGTTGGGTTTCGGTTTTGTTTAGTGGACTAATTTTTATTTTTTTTATTAATGATTTGAAAGGAGCTAATCATGTGAAACGTGGCATGTTATGTGATGTTGATCGGTTTTTAACCAACTAAAAGTGGAAATAGGTCGGATCGACAAAGAATGTTCTAATCGACTCGATCTATAACTAATTCATTAGTAATTGTTGCGAGTTAAATTGTCATGATTTTTTAATTGATTAGAGTTGTTAGTATAATTTTTAGCTCATAAGTTAAATCAATTTAATGTTGATTTTTAAAGAGAATATGAATATTAAATCAAATTTATTGAATTGATTTTTTATGTAAATCTAAATGATTCATGTTTAGAAACAATCGTTTAAACTTATTGATGAACTGTTTTTTAAGATTAAATTCTATTAAATTAAAGAGGATAAATATCTGAAATATGAAATAGCAATATTTATAATTTAACTTGAAAAAATATGTGAAAAAGATTTGGAACAAAAAGTTAAATAATGAATTAAGTATTATATTTAAGATTCATGAATATGTATAATATTTACATCATAAACACATGAGTTTCAAAATATCTTCACATTTAGTGCAAATCTCGTGTCTAACTGTCATTTTCGACTAAACATGTTCAATCATACATTGAACAGAAAAAAATACACGTTTTCATCCATTACAAATCGTGTGTCTTGAAAGATTATGATGAAAATGATTCCAACAATCACGATTTTTACGGTGAATTATATAAATTCAATGAATACGTACGATATTTACATCATAAAAGCAGGAGTTTCAAAATAGCTTCACGTTTAGTACGAATTTCGTATCTAACTGACATTTTCTACTAAATATGTTCAATGCATTCATTGAACAAAAAATGCACTTTTTCATTCATTACAAATCGCGTGCCTTGAAATATTATGATAAAAATGATTTCAACAATCACAGACTTTTTGATGATATGCTATACAATTTTATAACAGAGCGATTTTTCTTTAGTGACTTCATATTTTAATTTACATTTAAAAAAAAAAAATGCATACTAAAATTATTGGTATTTCAATTTATGAAATATATGACTATTTTGATAAATTAATTTAGTAAAATGAACATATGGACTCTTCAAATTTGTTGAGTTAATTATTGATCCAAAACTAAATATTTTTTTCTCATAAACTATCTTTTTGATTTATTCATAAACTTTTTTAAAAAAAAATCATTTTCTATCCAATTAAAAGAGAATGAAATTTCAAAATATGATAGACCAATATTTACAATTCAACTTAAAAAAATATGTTAGTAAGAATTCTGAAAATATAAGTCAATCAATGACTTACTTTATTTAAGATTCTTGAATACGTATAGTTACATCATAAAAGTATGAGCCTCAAAATATCTTTACGATTAGTGCTAATTTTGTGTGACACTGTCATTTTTTAATAAGTATCCAACACATCTTTTTAATTAGAAAAAAATAAATATTTTTTCATCCATTTTAAATTGTGTGCCTTGAGGCAATATGGCGATTATGTTTCCAATAATCGCATTTTTTTCAACGAATTATATAATTATGGAACATTCTTTCATTTTTATAATAGAATATAATTTTTCTTTGGTGATTTCATATTTTTACTTTTATTGATAACCAAACAAAAGCTTGATAAAATTATTAGTGCTTCAATTTATAATTTATTTGATATTTCTAACAAACTAATTCAGTAAGATAAATACATGAATTCTTCAAATTCATTGTATTTAAAAATGATGAGTACTAATAAAGAAGCAACACTTATTTTTTAAAGAAAAGAGTTGAACGTAAATTTTCACAATTTGATAAAAAAAAAAACATCTTACAAAAACGATTACTTATTATTTTTTGATTTTTTTTATGTACAGAAATAATTATTACTATTTACTATGTCATAAATCAATCTTAAAAAGAGTCGGAAAATAATCGGTTTCATAAATATTTTTTAATAAAATTCATCTTAAAATATTGACACCAATCTCCTTAAGCTGATTTCTCAAAATAATTTTCTATACAAGTCAATCAATGAACTGCTATATTTAAGATTCATGAATATGTATAATATTTACATCATAAAAGTAAGTTTTGAAATATTTCCCCATTTTATACTATTTTTGTGTGTGACTGTCATTTGTCAGTAAGCGTGTTAATATATTTTTAAAATTAGAAATAATTTAAATTGTTCTCATCCATTATAAATCATGTGCCTTGGGTAATATAATAATAGTAGTTTTAATATTTTTTAAAAAATCGGCAAATTGTATAAGTTCAATATAGGCATGAAATAAACTTTCAGTATTATTCAACTTTACAGTATCATATTTTTCTTTGATGATTTTGCATTTTAACTTACATCAATAACAAAATAAATGAATAGTAAAATTATTGATGCGTTTGTATTTTTTGAATTTGTAAATAATTAAACCCTTTTCACCTATTAAAATTGTATGTCTTGAGGCATATGATGAAGATAATTTTAATAATCATAGTCTTTTTAATGAATTATATAGGTTAAACATATGCATTAAGCAATCTTTCAATGTTCTTCAACTTTATGAAAAAATAATTGTATCATAAAAGCATGGATATGTATAATATTTACATCATAAAAGTACGAGTTTCAAAATATCATCACGTTTAATGTAAATTTCGTGTATAATTGTCATTTTCTGCTAAACATGTTCATCGCATTCATTGAACAGAACTTTTTCATCCATTACAAATCATGTGTCTTGGGATACTATGCCGAAAACAATTTCAACAATTACAGTCTTTTAGATGAGCTATATATAAATTCAATACAATTCATGAATATGTATAAATTTTTTATATCATATATAAAAGCATGAGTTTCAAATATATTCATGTTTAGTGCAAATCTTGTGTTTAACCGTTATATTCTACTAAACATGTTCAACCCATTTGTTGAACAATACACTTTTTCATCTATTACAAATTGCGTGCTTTGAGAGACTATGATGAAAATGATTCCAACAATCACAGTCTTTTCGGTGAATTATATAAATTCAATACTATTCATAAATATATATGATATTTACATTATAAAAACATGCGTTTCAAAATATTTTTCCGTGTTGTACAAATTTCGTGTCTAATTGTTATCATATAAATTCAATACTATTCATGATGTATGATACAATGACGGAGTCAGGAATTTCACAAAGGGTGTTCAAAAAATGGGGAAAAAATTGTTACTAGTGAGATACGAGCACTTAGGGCTCTTTCAAGGCATCTAAAATCACTAGACTACAACACCCTGTTCTGTAAAGGATGTCCAAAATATGTTATTTAATCATTTTACTTATATATACGGTATTATTTTTCGACGGAGGGTGTCCAATTGGACACCCTCACTATAGGGTAGCTACGCCCCTGGTATGATATTTACAACACAAAAACATGAGTTTTAAAATATCTACACACTCAGTGTCCACTTCGTGTACGATTGTTATTTTTCAATAATTGTGTTTAACATATTTTTAAAATTTAAAAATAAAGTTTTTTTCACCTATTATAAATCACACATCTTGAGGCAATATAATGAGATTAATTTTAATAAGCACATCCTTTTCAATAAATTATATAGCCTCGTCATATGCATAAAGCAACCTCTCAATATTCTTTACAATGCAAAAGAGTCTCGAGTTTTCCATAGAAAGCATGTGGCTCAACGATTTCAAGATTTAAACTTTACAACATCATGTACCATTCATAAATCATTCATAAATTTGTCATGCACTATTTTAGAATTATTAATTAATTTTCTTTATAATATCTGAAATTAAGAAATTTTAAAAATATATGATCATTTTTTTAAAGAAGAATCAATAATTAAGGAGTCTTGAAATATATGATAAAAGGAAAATATATTTTAAAAATTAAGAAATGCTAAAATATATAATAAGAAAAAAACATATGATATGAGTTCTAAAGTTTTCTCTCATCAATGTACCTATAATGCATGTCGATAGTCCTGCGCTAATGCTGCAAATGTGGAGTTACATATTGATGATTTGACATAATATAATAGGTAATTTCATATTCATTCAAATTTTGTTTGGTTTAAATTTTTCACGCATATTTAAATATTTATTTAATTTAACTAAGTTCAATTTTTTTTTATAGTGCTTGTTGTCAAATGAGATACGCGCAAAATGCGTACTCTAAGCTAGTTATATTATTAGAATAAGAATCACTTGTTGATTCATGAGATCCACCGTTACATAACTATAACATTAAACGATTTTTAATAGTTCAACGGTAATTTTGACTTATTTTTGTCATGTCATCTTCAATGTTAAAACTAACATTTAAAAATTGAAAAAAATTTCTTTGACGAAAAAAATAATTTTTTTTCTTTTTGGAATTTCAAAATAATTTTCAGTCACTACTACCTCTGTCTTTTCAGATGAACATTATGTGGTAAACACTTTGTACGTACTGAATAAATTTTCATGAAATAATAGCCTATGAATCACATCAAAAATTTAAATCGCACGAGACAAGACCACATGACAGACTCAACTCAGAAAACACAAACATTGAAAGAATTTGAGAATATTTTTTACCTATTTTGCGGTAGAATAATAATGTAGGTCACTTCTCTCGTGATACATAGGGTTAGAAGTCATTTTAACACTATATTACGAGTTCCTTCCCCAAAGGTTTTGGGGTTTCTCGTTTTTTTCCTTTTCGTCTCCGCCATGAATTGATTCCCGGAAAAATTCCTAGCCAATCAGCGGAAAGCATTTTCCTCGATTCATATTATTGAATCTTCTCATTCTATAATCACTTCTCAGTATAACTTTGAAGTTGTTAGGGTTTTTGATGCGAATTCGTATTTGAGAAATCAAAGAGAATTTTGGAATAATCGGTACGTTTTTTGTTTGTTGAATCGTGTTGGAGAATCATCATCTAGGAAATCGAATTAGGGATTTTTGGTGAAATAATGGGGAGTGGAGATGGAGAAGATGATCGGACGTTTAGGGTTAATTTCACTGCTGAAGGATTTGCGAAGCTCCGGGAACGAGTTAATGAGAAACTCAAGGAGTTCATGGGTGACTACACGGATGATACTCTTGTGGTATGGTTTTTTTTCTAGGGCTTGGAACAACAATATCGGATTACGGAACATATTGTTGAAATTTTTTGGATGCAAGTTGTTGTTGTAGTGAAGAATAGTACGAGTATAATTTTGATGTAGTATTGAGTTTAAATGGATTGATTTCGGTATTTGCTTCACCAGCATTTACCTTTTAGACTGTGTTTAAGAATTCCACAAACGTGATTTTTGAGTTTGTGCAAGTTTCTTTTGTTGTTACTGCTTCCATAATCTAATTGGATTGCGGAATATGTTGATTAAAAAGTATGAAATAAGCTTCAAAGTTGTTATTGCCATTAGTATGGATTACAGATTTAATTGTGTATTAGTATAGGCGTTTCAATCTATTGAAGAATTTGTTTCTACATTGAGAAAGGCGTGCAATCCTTAGAGTTTTTTGATCATTGAGTTGCTTCAGTATTTGGATAACGTTTTGTGCAATTATAGTATCCAAGTTACAGTGAAATTGACCTCTTATCTTACATGACATTGTTATGAACTCTCTACTTGTGGAACATATAAGTTTTAAAATTCCGATTTGTATTTTTTTTTTGGTTGTGGATCTGAGAGGCCTTGAAAAGAATGATACTCTTATATCAGTATTTACAGCATAATAATGTTTTATTGGACAATAGGTTGTCTACTGGTCACAAAAATTGCTCCTGAAGAACCTAGGATATAGGTCTTATGCAGGGCATTCCCTAGTTCTGTGCTCAGTGTGCAGTAAACACACAAAAAACATTCATATTTATTTCAAATTGTTTGAAGCTCCCATCATTTGTCGTTCCTCACTAGCTCTGTTTTTGTTGTTTGAGGACTAATGTTCTTATTTGCTTATATAAAAAGAACTCATCCATGTTCATTGTTTTGAAGGATTCAATCCACTTAAGAAGTTCACTATCGCTCACAACCGTGTATAGTTATTTTGGGCAAAAAGACTTATGTCAAGTGAGGCACCTAAAAGCTGCTTATTCCTGACATTAAAAACTTTAGGGAGGTTATCACATTTTTTTGGGGGGGCTCCCACCTGGTGTCCGGTACCTGGTACCCGCGTTGGAGCCTGACTATTCCGGATTCGCGCCGTGTAGGGATCCATTTGGAGGGAAGTTCTCCCTACTCAGGATTTTTCCATATTCCATACCCATGGCTCAAACCTGTGCCATTTGGTTAAGGTAGTAGCAGCCTCATCCCCTGCACCACATCCGTTTTATGTGAGGTTATCACACATTACATTAAGATTGAAGATGAGGGTTGACTTTAATTTATATTATAAATTTGTTTGTAAGTTTGGCAACATGGATGCAATAGGTCATTTAAACTGTATAGTGCACCATTCTGGTGGTGCAAGTTACGCTACACATATTATGTTTCGTATATGCAACAGAGATATATTATTATACGGATAAGGGAGAAGCTGCCTATTCTATGAATCTATATATGTTGTTGATAGTGATCAGCTTTTTCTTACTGAACATTGCCTCGTAAAAAGGTTCGCTCATCCTCTAACATTCAAGTTTAGATGCTCACATACATTTGATTTGTAACTTCCTCATTTTGATTACTGGGTTTTAATAAGCAGGTCATGAAATTCTTAGTGGACGTAGTTACCTGGTACTTGTGTGAGTAGGGGTAGCAAGGTACCTCAAATTAGTGCATGCAAGCTTGCTTGAACACCATTTTTTTTTTGAAAATAACCTACAAAATGCATAGACGGTAAAAATGGATATTAACTCTTTATTTATTTCTACTTTAGACAAACTCTTAGTAGCTACTACTATGCAAAAGTTCCAATTTTATGAGATGTTTCTTAAGGGGCATGTATCAAGTGTATGTTGTCTCATGCTAAAACCCGCCTCATTTATAAGGTCCTTGCAAGCCATGGTTGGCATCATGCGGAGCTTCTGGTTCTTTTTCTGTAACCAGAACACTCTGCTATATTCCGGTTTGGAACTTTAAGCTTTCATTATATTAAAGCATCATTTTGATGTAATGCCAAGTTGTCAACTAGCAAGAATTGTCATGTGACATATCAGAATTATTCATGTACTATGTTATTGGAATTTGTTGTTATTCTAAATTTGAGGACAATTAATGTTGATATATCTCATAGCCATGCATGTGAAGGATCCCACCGTTTGTTCGTTTAGATGCATGTATTTTCTTCTGCACATGATATTTGATCATCCTCACTCTTTGGTTTATTATGTTGTTCTGTGCATCTTTGGAGCCTCATTTTAGTTGTATCAGATTATTGTATAACATCAGATTTCGAGTCTAGTTATTACAGATACTTCTTGATGCGGCGTTCATTATGGGTGTGCCAGTTTTCTCCTTAAAGTTTATGATGCTAATTTTTTGCTATGCACCTGCAGGAATATGTCATAGTCTTGTTAAAAAATGGTAGGCGTAAAGAAGAAGCAAGAAATGAATTGAATGTTTTTCTTGGAGAAGACAGTGTCTCCTTTGTTGATTGGTAATATAACAGCCATATTTCGCTTAACAGTATGTGTTCTGAGCTAAGTATTTATTTTACTATTCTGATTCTTGGTAATGCTATTTAGGCTGTGGGATCACCTGGGATCAAATATAGATCTGTATGTGCAACAAAAGGATTCTGATACAGGAGGAGGGGCAAAAACGAAACCCGCTATTGTGGAGCAGCCTGCAAAGAATGATGTGCACCACCTGGACACTGATGCTGATAAAGAGAAATCAAATAAATCTAAAAGCCGTATCCGAAGGGAGTGGAAAGGGCTTGTTAGCGATGGACACCCTTCTCTACGTAGTTCTTTGGCCGAAAACATTCCTAAGGAGGAGGAAGCTCATCGAAAAGTTGGTCATGCAAAGCGATCCCTCTCCCCTCAGCCAGAACTTTTGAGAAAAAGAAGCAGACCTGAAGAAAAGCCAAAAAAGGTTTCTAGAATCTCTATGCATTGCTTTGTTTTGAGAATCAAAAGAATGCTACTGAGTTTTCATAATGCCATGAAGGAGAATTTCGTAATTGAATAATTATAAACTCGTCATGTTTTTAAGCTGAATGTTGTGCTGATTTTTTACTTTTTGATCATTTCCATTCCAAAGGTGCATGCCTAATCTGACTCTTTCATTTAGCTAGCGCCTCTATATCTCACATTGTGGACAACCATTGTTAGATCTGTTACTTGTCGGTCTGGGAATAACTATACATATAGTCGTGTTAGAAAAACACTAAGTAAAAGTTTGCGGCTTTCTCTGTTTTCGGAATTCGGGCTCAGAAATGCTGTCTTTTCTCATTATGGATGGTGGAGACGAAGGCGTTTGTACTTGAATAGAAGCTTGGGGTTCCATTTCCTACTGTATTTATTGATGCAAAGTAAGTAGCTGCCTTTTACTTTATGGAGAGCATAAAATTCAGTTAAGCCCTATCTACCCACGTGGTTTATGGAGTGATTGGTTTATTGAGCTGGTTTTGCTGTTGTCCTTTATTTGTCATGCTAATTCGGTCTTGGCTTCCATGGAGAAATCAGCCTGTCCCTTCATTTTTTTTGGACTATTTCTCGATTGTAACTGGAGGTGACAATGTGGGTGAAAGCCCTTAAGCCCGAAAGTTTTCCACCCATTAATCACTCCAGAGAAACATTCCAGATTGTTGTTTTTTTACATGTTTTGAAATGTATATAGTTTATAGTAACATCTTACCTGGTTGTGTATTTTGTTGATGCATGGTTGATAATGCCATTTGCATAATCACTTTCTCTAAGCACTCAAGTGCATGACCTAGTGGTCAATGAAGTGAGTGTAAACCTTGGAGACCATGATTTAAGTCCAAGCAGAGACAAAAGCTACCAAGTGAGTTCTTCCCATATGTCTAAGCTTTGGTAGGCATAGTTACTTGGTACATGTGCTGGAGGGAGGTAGCAAGTACCTGGTGGAATAATGAGGTTTGCACAAGTTGGCCCGGACACCACCATACTAAAAAAATCACTTCCCTTCACTTTTCCCATCTGTTTTAACCAAGTGTCAAGTTCACTAGTGTGAAGCTTTAAATGATTTTGTCGTCGTTGACAATACTTATGTAGATTACAAACAATAACTAACTTGTGTCCTTGCAATTTTATTTATTGTTTCTGATGATTGGGCTATATAAAGGTGTGTTGGCAGCATCATTAGGGTAAAAGCTTCATTTCGAATTATTTTCGTGTCATGGTATGTATTTGGAACGCCATATTGATTAGATCGTGAGTTCTCCCTTCCTCTGTGTGTGGGCTGGGTTTGGAGTGTTTTTCTGTAATCAGTTTCTCTTGTTTCTAGTATTGTTTATCTTATGCTTTTACCCTCCATTATATTTTCTTCACTTTGGTGATTTTTCTTTCTTCAGAAATTCGAGTTGGTTGAACTCCCATGCCAATTAGAACACAGTTTAAAATGAATTACCCTGTGATTTGCTTTGGTTGTATCCCACACTACTGTCTTCTGAAAATTTCAGGAATTTTGTTGACCTTTAGTGTGTTGCTACTTTTTACTTATTGTGGTTAGTTAGTAGTCTTTCCAATGTTATTGTATTCTCAGTGCTAACAATACTTTTTCTTTTCAAAATCCTTATTTCGCTGTTCGTAGACAGACTCTCTATCATATGATACCATATAATACATGGTTATGCATTTTTTTTGCCTATATATTTTTTTTTTTGATAACCGAGAGATCCGTCTGTGGCTTGCCCTTTGGAATTTTTGTATATGATAACTTTGGATTACTTTTTTGAACAAGGATTGAGTAAAATAACTAGGTATTGCAAGAGGAATTGCATATAAACTGTTTCAGTTCAGTACTAGAGTTCTTTAAAAAAAAATCTAATTCATGAAAGCAAGAGAAAACATGATTCGAGTTATCCTTTTGGCTTTGTATTCCAAATCACTACTTCACGTCATCAGCTTTTGATTAATTTGTTTGCTTTTGATAGAGGGAAAGCAGTCGTCAAACATCAATTGCTGCTACTCGGAGGTTGCTGCAATTTGCAGTAAGAGATGCTGTGGCTACTAATAGGCCATCCAATTCCACTCTAGCTCCCTCACCTTCACTAAAGCGTCTTCGCTCTGTGGTCTCTACATCTGTGGATGACTCATCCCTTCCAGAACGCCCACAGAGGATACGGTCGGTTGCAAGAGCACCAACTGCCTTGGCCACTGCTATTAGAGCTGTTGCAGAAGCTGCAAAAGATGTAACAAAAGTTAGATCGTCCGTTAATGTGTTTGATAGGCTGGGTCGTGCTACTGATGTTCCCGATCATTCAATCCCTTCAATGGAAGAATCTATGCAAGCTGTTACTGAAGATGTACAAGATCAATCTTTTGCTGATGCAAGCGAGGCGTACTCAACTTACCTTCACAGAAGGGATTATAGTGGAAAGCATATTGGGAAATCTATGTTACATGATGATGCTGTGGTTGTTTATGATTCAGCATCGGATGATGAGGCTAGTCGTGGTAGCAGTGCTGTGAATAGAAGGGCTTTTGATGCCTCTAGAACTGGTGCACCTGTTAAAAACATAGGTGAGAATCCGCTTATACTCGAGCATGACATTGCTTACAATGTGGATGATATTTTGGACAAGTCACAGAAGGACCAGGATCAACCTACATTTGCTCCTGGTGCTCCTCACCAGCCAATGAATATCCCGTTAAATGTGAATACCTGGAAATCACCTCAGTATCAGGAGGCAAGACAGTCATTTGAGATAGAGAATCGGAGATCTGCCCAAAGCAGTGAAGGCTTGGCCGAGAAACCTGATATACTGTTGACAAAAGAGAGCACTAATCCTATTGCAGCTACTAACGGAATTGTATGATATCTATACGCTGTTATGATCTCATTATGTGCTAAAATCTTTGTAGTCTCCAGAAAATACTTAAATGTATATGTTCTTTGTTAGGTCAAACCATATGTGGAGACGCAGAAGGAATCTCAGAAGACAGGTTTTCTTAATCAGGGTGAGTTTGATCTTCCCTAGTTACATGTGCTTCTACTTTCTAGGCATATTAAATCACTTTTAAACTACTTCTAGATAAATATTAAGATTAATTTGTTATAAGATTAGTTTGTTAATATTAAGATTGAGGTCTGGCTTAGATAGTTTGTATAGTTAGCCAGAGATTTTTTTGTAAGCTCAAATGCCATATCTTGTAAATTTTGCATCTTCCCGATGCTGTTATTAATACCACTTATCTTATCAAAAAAAAAAGATTGAGGTTAGGCTTTATTGCTTTCATTATGCTTTGCATGAGATACTCTTAACTTGTGCGGCAAATTATTGGTCTAATCACTGCTTTAATATATGTGTAGTACTCCCAGTATGCTATTCCCTAGGTACCTTCTTTGTTTCTTTATCTTATATGTAGGTCATTTTCTGGTATATCAGGTTTGTATTCTACTGGTGCACCTACAGAAGATGCTGATTCACGAACCATCTTTGTTAACAATGTAAGTTCTGTCAGCTAACTATTGGTCTGATTCACTAGGTATATTCTTTGTCGCTCAATTGCTGAAAAACATTTAATTTGTTTCCGTTGTTTGTGTCAGGTTCATTTTGCTGCTACAAAGGATAGCCTTTCTCGGCACTTCAATAAATTTGGAGAAGTGCTTAAAGTGGTAATCCTGACTGATGCTGGAACTGGGCAACCCAAAGGGTCAGTTACTATTTTCATTACCTTTTATCAATCTTTTGTCTGATATTATTGAGTGCTAATGTCTAAATACATAACATAAACAGGTCAGCTTATGTAGAGTTCATGAGAAAAGAATCTGCAGAGAATGCTTTATCACTTGATGGAACATCGTTCATGTCACGCATTCTGAAGGTATGTTCTAAAAAGCAGATGATATTATTTGCCATAAGTTGGTGCGTGGATTTTGTCTTGACTGCTATATGATGTCATAAGTTGGTGAAGGTATATACCTTTTTGGGGTGTGTGTTATTGTTTTGGTCCTTTAACATCCTCCCTTCAAGTCTTACTCGTTTTCAGCTACAAGTTAACTGATTTTCTTAGTGATGATCTGCTAATTTGGTTTTAAGTCGTTGGGTTTGAAGTGGACTCTCCCCACATCTTTAAAGTAAAAAAGAGATAAGAGGGTTGATCTGTTCCTTGCAGTTTCAATTTACTGTTGACTGCTTAAAGTCAACATATCAACCTCTCTATCTCACACAAGGTAGGGGTAAGGTCTGCGTGAACTGCGTCCACTCTATCCTCCCTAGACCCCACTTGTGTGACTACAGTCACTACACTGGGTTTGTTGTTGTTGTTGTTGCTGCTGCTGAAAGTCAACATATATGATAGTACATTCCCAAACCTTCTGCAAGAGGGTACAAGATGTTAATGCTTTAGAATGTTTGAAGCCCTCGTCATAAGTAAAAGCGAACGTTTTCCAATATCAGACATTTGACTGTACCCCAAAATCAATTGCTAAAACATGGGATGGAAAGGGAGTGCAAATAACGCAAACTAAGTGGAGTATGAATATATGCAGTAGCATTCCATCGCGGCATAGCCCATGCAATCACTTTTCAGCGCCAAGCATTTGATGGAAGTACGACTAAGAAGTTTGTTTGCAGTATATATAAAAAATGCTTACTGAACCGCAGGAAGCTTACGAGTACACCTTGACTATTTTGCCGGTACTTGCTACCTCCCACTAGCTCAAGTATTGGGTATGCAAGGTAACTCTGCTACCAAGGCCTAGGCGGATCTGAATAAATTACTTCATGTGTGCTGTATCTGTTGGAATTTGAACCCTGGACGGGCGCACCAACTTCATTGACCACTAATCTTACACCCTTTGGTGCATAGCTTTCATCCTTGTTTTAGTTGGGATGAGTACAATAGTGTCAAAGTGGTATGGAGACCTAGGTCTTGCTTGGTCACTTTTATGGGAACTTCTCAATTTCTTGTTATATTATGGTGTTTGGAATTGAAGCAAAAAATGTGTAGGTTTCAGAGAAGTTAATTATCCAAATAATAAGCTGTTAACATGGAAAACACTTGGGGAAATAGAACCCCCCAAAAGGAACTACTTTGGCAGGACTTGCACTTCTCAAATTTTATGTGGGATTTACTGCAACCTTCTATGTAATGATGATTACTAAGTAGGGATAGATAAGTGGAATTTTCTGGAAAAGACAAATAATAAGTTAACATGGAAAACACTTTGGGAAATAGAACCCCCCAAAAGGAACTACTTTGGCAGGACTTGCACTTCTCAAATTTTATGTGGGATTTACTGCAACCTTCTATGTAATGATGATTACTAAGTAGGGATAGATAAGTGGAATTTCTGGAAAAGACAAATAATAAGTTAACATGGAAAACACTTTGGGAAATAGAACCCCCCAAAAGGAACTACTTTGTGCAGGACTTGCACGTCTCAAATTTTATGTTGGATTTACTGCAACCTTCTATGTAATGATGATTACTAACTAGGGAAAGGTAAGTTGGAACTCTGGAAAAGACAAATAGTGGCTTAGTGCTATAAGGGTTTCTTAAACATATAAAGTAAGATCATTGTTATAAGTTTTTTTTTTTGGGGTGTGTGGGGGTGGGGGTGATAGTGTGAGTATGTTAGGGTGGTGATAGTATGTGATGGTTTAGGTTAAGTAGGGTTTTGTCTCTTCATTTTCCAATTTATGGTGTAAGCTCAAGATTCCATTTGGATGAATCTGTTCCAAATCCCAAGGTTGAAGAACTTGAGAATTCTTTAATGTTAACTTTTCATATGGAAGAGATTTAGAATCTATGTAATCAGGATTTAGAGTCGACACAAGTCAAAATCCCTTCAAAGTATTCAAGTGCTCGTGTGTTATGAACGTCTACATGCATAAAAATAGTGGGTGTGCAGATGTATGAACTGCAGTTACAATGATGCACTGACCCCGCTGTGAGGTAAGAATTGCATTCCTTCATTCTGAAAACAATATACTAGTGATTTGGTTTGGTAAATCTTGTGGATCCAATCTGTTATCCCTTGCTAATATCATCCCTCAACTATGACTCAAATCTAATGTACATCCTTATATTATCTAAGTGAGCAAAAAACATCCATATACTATCCAAAAATAAAAAGAATTATCCTTCTGTCTATTTTTGTTAAGAAACTGATTGAGCCAATAATTTTTTTTTTTTTAATTTGGTCATGTCCTAGCCACGATGAGAAGATCAAAGTTACCTAAAAAAATAAGAACATGGATAGGAAATGAATGTGCCATTCTTAGAATTTAAATTTTGTGTGTTAGTTTATATATTTTTTGCATCATCAAGTAAATTGACTTGCAACAATACACAAGTCTTTGAAATATTTATACAGTAGGTTCTGATGGTAAAAATAAAAAATATTACGTCCAACTATTTAGAGATATTCTTTATAAAATATTTAGTACATATGCATGTTATGTACAATGCAATTCACATTTTATATGATGTACAGATATGCTGGAAATTTGGTGAAATTACGTAGGCATTTGGTTATGAAAATAAAAAAATAATTACTTTATTTGAAATTTTTGAATTTGGAGTTGTATTTGGCCATACTTTTTACAATGAATATTTAGAATTTGAATATATTTTGTCTCCCTCAATTTCTAAAAAATTGAAAAATCACCCAACTTGACTAGCTTAACTATGTGTACATATATTCATTCAGCTTAAAAAAAATAGGCAAAAGGATGAATTTTGCAACTTTTTGGATAGTGCAAGGATTTTTTTTGTTCACTTATATAACACAAGGATGTAGTTTAGGTTTAAGTCATATACTTTAGGGATGATTTTAGCCAAAAACTCCATATTTAGCTTTTGGAAAAGTTGTTCAGGATTCACCAAGAGTTGACTCGTTAAAAAGAAAAAAAAAGAGGTTCACTCCCATTTCGATGAGAATGCGGAGGTACAGTCTCTCTTTGCCAACAATATCAATAAACTTTTGTTGCGCCTCTTTGCCAACAATATCAAGAATATTTTGGTGATCTTTTACGATTGTTCAAATATTCACTTCACCATGTGATGTGAATTATGTAAACTAATTTGATGCTCCCATCCCCCATAAGTTGGGGAAATTAGAAGAATATAAGACTTAAAAAGAAGGCTATGCTTTTAATAATTTACGCTTCTAAAATTGTTGGCAACTGAAGTATCAAGATAAACCCCGAGTAAAAGGAAGTCTCTATTCTTTTAGCAATTTGTGCAAGGCTCTTTTAGCATTTGTACATCTCTATATTTGAGGGACATTTCTGTTTATTTAATCATCGAGTTCTTTTATACAGGTTGTAAGGAAAAGCTCTGCTACTCCTGAAGCAGCATCTGGCACTGTCTGGCCTCGTGTTACGAGAGGTGGTGCCTTTGCCATTTCTAGGTTTGGTCGGGTTCCTTTTCCTAGAGGCTCTCCCACTTTGTACAGGTCCCGGCTCCCAATGAGGCCTGGTGCTAGAAGTATGCAATGGAAACGAGATGCTCAGCCCACATCGACTGAGAACTCTGGTTTGGCTACACCCTCGAGTAATGCAGTTCCTTCTCCCATTCCTCGGAGTATGACATATGTACGAACAGAATCCAAGACAAATGGAAATTCCACTGCGGCTTAGTTGATTATAGCTGTTACCTCTTTCCTATCTCTCTGAGAATCCAGCTCTTTTTAAGAAAGGTTGAAGTCCAACATACTTGGCGCAATGTACATGATTGCTTCATCTGGTGAATCAATCAAGATGGGGAGTGAATGTTCATGTCACGTAATCATGAACGGGAGTGTTACTGATTTTACTTTTATCTTATTGTTATTTCGCTAGAGTTGGGTGGAAGAGGCATTGGGTAAATGTTTTTGGATTAGATTTTTGAAGTAGTTATTATCAGATTGTTGGAGGCAGGTGGCTGAAGGAGTTGTGTTAAGTTCGAGCTGGAATCTGTGAATAGGTGGAAATGGGCTGTTTATTGGATTAGTGAACCTTTGAAATTTCATTCTTGATTAAGTCAAAAAAAGGAAAAAAATTAGAAGACAAAAAGATAAAAAGAAAAAGCAAAATCTCCATTTCATTTTACATTTCATCTTTTGGTTCAATAATATGCTTGCTAGTTGAGATGTGCATTCAGTACGAATTAGTTTGATGATTTAGCATTTATTGTTTTCGGAGCTTCAAAAAGAATTGGAGATACTTGAAAAGGACAATTCTACTGTTATCATTTTGTTATCTACTTTTGCCAAGTTTTTGTAATTTTGTATTCGAGGTAGTAATTGGACTGGTGATTTTGGATCACCTCCAGTATTTTTCAATATGCATTTTGATCTAAGCCACGTGTCCCTGTGGAGATTAAAATGCAGGTATTTCATTTGTTTCCTTCACCCATATGAAATCCTTCATACCACTTCGACTATTATAGTGTAAAATTTGGTGTTATGGGTTGAAGATGTGACAACGAAATGAGAGAGCTTCAAGTATTTCCTCCATCCACTTCTACTCGTACACTATCGAAGGTAGATGTTCCCTTTTGTTCAACCAGATTGAAAAATTAATAGAAGCTGATATAGTAAAATTGTCATCTATTTATTGTATCTTTAGGGATGTATCAGGTTAATGTTGGATAAGTGGTAATGAATTGTACGAGTATTTTGTATAGCATACAAATTATATAAAAGTAAATAGTAAAACTAGTAATATGTCTCGGTTTCCAAATGACCCCAATATTTGAAAATCGACTAAACCAAAGTCATGTAAAAAGAATTCCAATGGAGGAACTAAACCAAAATCATGTAAAAAGAATTCCAACTGAGGATTAGGATGTAAAATATAATCGACCTGAAAGTGCAAGTGATGTCTTCTGAATAGTTGTTACGCGTAAAACAACTAGCAAACAGAGCAACTTTGTGCCTATTCAGGATCTAAATATTTCATACATTACTGTAATGCTAGTATGAGTAAAAACCAAGAGTTGGATTAAGAAGATAAAAGACATTATTGAAATTCTGAGTTATATATAACAACTTTAAATCATGACATATAACACCATTTGAGAAATTGCAACTATATTATTTCAAAGATTGAGATAATTCACATATAGGATCCTACTGTCCACAATTTATAAGACCAAAATAAGGATTCTGTTGTGAAATTTACAACAGATTGAACCATGGGAATATCAAAACCTCCTCTTACCCCCAACAACGTCTTATGGGAGCACGAGAGTCGTCATTAGCAAGTTTAGGCATATCATGAAAGTTAACCATTATTATCCTTCTCTTGGCTTCCCTTTGCTCTGCTAACCTTTCCTCAAATTTCCTCTTGCTTGATTCAAACTTTTTCTTCATATCATTGATGCTTTGTGTTCCTTTTTGCATCGATTTCACAACTTGTACAGGTTTGGTGGCCACATTCATCTTTGTTAAACCAGTGGTGCACTCTTTTCTCGTGCGTTGGGTCTGTTGTGCTCCTTCTTCTCTCTTCTTTTCTGTGTGATGATCACACTCCATTTTCTTAAAACCTTTGTGGCTCTGCTTGTCTCTGTCAAGGTGCTTCTCGAAAGATAAATCAGAAAGAAGTCTTACACGAGGAGGAGCAACTTGTACTCGTTTGGTGGACTCGTTCATCCTCTTTCTTGATGGCATAGTAGTACTATTATGGGACTGTGGTGTTCCTTGTTTATCCAATTGTTGAACCAAGTCAGTTTTCTTCAACTCTGTGCTGCTTTCTGTTATTGCACTGCAATTGTTCTGTTTCTCCGCAGGAGCAACTTGTACAGACTTGCGGATGACTATTCTAATCTTCGTCACCAAGGGTTTGTTGCTTTCTGCAGTTATTTGTTGTGTTCCTAACCCACCTTCTTCTCCTTCTTTCTCAGGCTCTTCAATGCTGGTCACGTCATCTTGATCACCAACATTGTCCTCGATAACCTCTTCTTCATCATCATAATCATCATCAGTTGATGTTATGGAGGGATTCATGAGGAACTTGATTATCCTGGCTTTGCGCTTTTCGAACTGTGGCTGATACTTGAATGCGCCAACACGCAGAGCTAATTCGATCAAATTGAAAATATCATCAGGCTGCTCCTCGATCTTGTAACAACTCATGAAAACTCTTTCAATATCCATTCTTCTCACACTCACTCGAACAACAACAACAATTATGAAAGGAAAATATATCCATTCTTCTCACACTCACTCGAACAAGAAAAACAATTATGAAAGGAAAAAAAGTAATTTGTTAAAGTGTAATAAGAAACTTTAACTCATCAAACCCCTCTTATAAGATTTTTTTGGAAACTTTTTTTCACATCTTTTAGGACTAGGAGTGCTACAAAATTAACCTTTTCAATAATTTCCATTTTTGAATTGTACGATTTTTAGAAATTTTTTCCCTTTTTCCAATATTGTTTAGGACTTCCAACAAATTTACTAAATTATTTTTTCCTTTTCCTATATTGTTTAGGACTCCCGTTTGTTTATTTTTTCTTTTTCCTATATGTTTTTAGGAACAAGGGCGGCTCACTCTAAAGCCCAAACCCCCCAAATTCAGATCTGCTGAAGTAATAGCACACTTGGAAGGATCAAAGTACCCTAAGTAGGGTATTAAAAAAAAGGGAAAAAAGTCTGAAATATATCCAAACTTTGACCGAAATTGATGTAACAATATCAAACTTTGGAAAAGACCTTTTACCCCCTGAACTATTTAATAGTGTATTTTAAAGGTATAAATGTGCTCACATGGACATCATAAATATTACATTATTATAAATAGTAATGTGTCCACATGGGCACATATATACCTTTTGAAATACACTATTAAATAGTGCAGGATAAAAGGTCCTCCATAAAATTTGGTATCGTAACAACAATGTCTCATGACTCTCGTTCTCTCAGAAGACATTGTTGGGATAGAAAGAGATTTTGATTATCTCATAATTCAATCTATTGTAAATTTTATATCAGAATCTTCTTCTTTTTTCGTCTAATAAATTATGGACAATAGTAGCATTTACTATTTTTAATTTGATCATGGTTTCCTATATGCAAATTATCTCAATGATTAAATTATAATTTAATATAGTTGCAATTTCCCTAAATAATGTTATATTCATGCTTTAAAGTTATGTTATATACAATTCAAAATTTTATTATTGCCTGAATAGCCACAAAGTTACTCTACTCCGTTTTAGGTATACTAGTTATTTAGAAGATATCAATAACATTTCAGGTCAATTGAAAGCTTGTGAGATTTTTTTTAATCTTGATGGACAACTAGGAAATTATTGGCAAGAAAATTGACATTTGGGTCGGTTATTAGCCCAAAATTAAAATCAAATTAATATAATTCGTTTTTAAATTATTAAAATCAAATCTGATTTAATATACATTTATCTATTTGGTTGTTATCGATTTGGTTTGATTATTAAACATACATGAAAATAAAATCAAAAGACAAGGTGGGGAAGGAGAATAAAATAACGTTCATGTTCAAAATATTTTTTGTTCAGAATACTTTTTGCTTGGAACTTTTTTGCTTCATAAATAAATATTATAAATAAATCTTGATGAAAATATTTATAAGATGTTTAAAATTATTCATAAAAATAATAGATATGATGTATATTATTATAAGAAATAATAATATGTAATAGCTCCTATGTGAGATTTTATCTATGACATTATGTGACTATCTATTCATATTGCATCGGAAAGACTCCTAACATTAGGAGTAAAACTCTTTCTAAAAAACAAATTCAGTTCATTTGCTTCTACTTAAGCTCATTTTGATATTGTTACTATTCTAGTTCTAAATTAGTTTTTAGATCACTTGATTGACTAAATAATGAGATGTCAAATCATTCACATATATAGACAAACAATATTTGCAAATGCCACTTAAAGTGCATGTAAACTTCTATGTTCAATGTTCTTGATCACTTAAAGCCATATCATGTAAACTTTGCGCTTGTTCATGACTCCTCGTTGTTGCCATGTAACTTTAGGAAGGAATAAATGTATCCAAAGAAGGGGAGTTTTGGATAAGAGTAAAGTTGGTTTCATATGATTAGGAGCTCTCAAGTTTGAGATGTGAAAATCGTCTTTCGCAAAATAAGATTTCGTATAATAAATTATTGTGGTTTGGGGTAGGACCCGTGCACAGTGATATCCATTTATAATGATTTCCTTTTCCTATATGTTTTAGGAGTACGCTTCCCTGCACCTTGAGGTAACAATACAAAACACCCGGTTTGGATAAGTATCTTTTAGGGCTTGTTTGGTATAAGGGATTAGGGATAACTAATTTCGGGATTAATCTAAAGATGCATTTATCTCGTGTTTGTTTGGCATAAAATCACGGGATAAGTTATCCGAAATTGTAGTGTTATTTTAACTTTAGATGAACCAATCTACTATCAGATATTTATCTTGTCTCCTGCAAGTCTTTCTAAATTGAATTTCAACTTAGAGTTGATTGAGTTTGTGAATGTATCATGACTATAAAAAGGGATGTGTTGGTTACTAGTTACAGTCTTTACGATCAGAAAGCCCTTTCTAATTGTTTGTTGCTTAAATAGGTCATCAATTTTCTGTAGAGATAGAAAGAGTGCAACCTACAAAATTGTTTGACTTTGCTGAATAATATTTGATATTATGCCAAAAGAAAAGAAGTAGTGTTACAGTCATATACTTGCTAGAAATCTTAAAAAATTGTAAATTGAGTAGGTTTCTGCATATTCAAGATTGGAACTTTTAAACTCAGGCAGGTTAGCAGATGGTGAGACCAGAGACTCAATTACTATCAAGTACCAGTGTAAGGGAGAGTGTGACTAAACCATGAATTCAACTAAGATGATAATTTACAATAACTAAATTCTGAATCATCAAAAAGATTTAAGACTCGGATTAAAAGATAATTTACCTTAGGACATGCCCTCAAAGTAAAATCTTCATCCACAGGTAAGTTCAACCATATTGTGCTATGGAAGTATGTCTGGCTTTTTCTTATGATCAGGTATCTTAATGGTACTGAACTATTTGGACACTCTGTCAGCTCCTAGGAGCCAGCTTTTAGTTCTGGTAATCCTTGATGCTGTACAAACTCCACTAAATACAGTTAGCATTAGAAAATTTGATCTAAACTTTGTAAATGTCCTGGACACATGTTGAACCAGGACATTTCACAGAACAACAATATACATACCTAGTGAAGTTTGGGGAGAGTAGAGATTACGTAAATCTTACCACTACGAG